CATGTGAAGGGAACAGTATGTTAATACTGCGTCCAGGATTTCATTCTGACTAGCTTTGTTTCTCTCGAGCTTGTCCACTTCTGGAACTCTTTAGATCAAACGGCCTACTCCGGCTACGGTAACAGTGCTGAATCGCCCCTCCTCTCCTCCTTCCTATCGCCCTTTCTCTTTCTCTATCTATGTTTCCTCTATCTGTCCGCTTGTCCTGGTTTGCAATGGTGTTCATGTCCACTTCATCTTAATCTGTTTGTATCTTGTGGTCCACAGGGAGTGCATTAAAGGAAGCCCGGTTGTGATGAGCCAGGATCTTATTCATTACTCGTGCACACATTCTGTGTAGACACACACACACACACACCATAAAAACCCATTTAGTTTGCTTTGTATGTGTTCAAATGGCTTCACATCTCTGGTTGAACTCACTGCATAGTGCCAGGATAGGGGGGGGTCCATTTGTCATTTTTGACTGCTCAAAACGGGGCAGCGGGGGCTTCCGGACAGGCAGCCAATCGGGGGGCAGGCGGCGTACGGCTTCTGTTGCCAGGCCCCCCCCGGTACAGGGGGGGGGGGGGGGGGGGGGGTTTACACACCAGTACGTGAAGTAAGAGGTACATCTACTCAAGTACTGAAACTTCCTGCTTCTTCTTCCACAAGTTTTTACCTTTTTAAATATTGTATACTATGATTTATTTGACTGTTTTCGTCTCATCATTTCATTCATTTTCATTTCATCACTTTCAATGATCTTATTTCACTATACTGTAATATGTATTATACTTTTATATGACTTATTCATTACATTCTACACTGTTGAATGATTTTTTATGAGATTTGACACTACGACTATTTCATGAAATTCTCTTTTTTTTTTACTTAAAAATGACATTTTTCACGTCTCGACATCATAAACACGTTTTTTTGATACTAAACCAGTTAATTATGTTTTGTATTTGCACATAAGAAACTATTGTCATCGCCAACTTCGCCTGGAAAAGTAGAAACGGTGGTAATTTAATGTTCTCGCCATCATTAAAATTGACGCTGATCAAGTGTAACGAGTTAAACGCTGCAGCTGACTGTGGTGTCGGTGGCTGCTCTGCAGGGGGCTCTGAGGCTTCAGCACCACGAGGAGAGATGGAGGAGGAGGAGGAGGAGGAGGAGGAGGCTGTGCATGTTTAGTACCAGACTGAGAGGTTCGCTTTGCTGTCTGTTCGCCGTTGCAGAGATCAACCTGTAGGGGGGGGAGGGGTGGCTGGCACTGCAATGCAGAACATTAAAGGAGGAGGAGGAGGAGGAGGAGAGTGAGTGAGCGAGTGAGAGAGATGCCACCTCTGCAGAGCGTTTTTTTCCTCGGAGATTCCCTGCTGTTCGGAGGAGAAGCTGCCACATGAGGTGAGAAACACGCAGATTAATGCAGCGGAGGAGGAGAGGAGGAATCGAGGAGGAGGCCGCTTTGATTCCAACTAGGGAGGAAGGATGCCATGGCAACGACCTTGACCTCAGATGGCTCCTCCCCCCCCCGTGTTGAGATGAGTGGATGAACGGGGGCTGTTTGTGTTACTGGGGGCCGGATGGCGAGCGTGAAGGTCGTCTGTGTGGAATAATAAAACAAGTATTCTCGCTGGTGCGACACGATTTAAAGGATGTTTGTATTGCAGATCGCTCTCGTTAAATATTCAGTGCTCACTGGACGAGGCTGGCGGACATTTAAAAGACGTTTAGCTGAAGCAGATCCGTCGGAACGAGCAGGAAGTTCAAAGAAACCGAACAGAGAACAAAGTATGAAATCATTTATTGGCGTCATTCTCGTAGAAAGGCTCTTTGTGCAGGTTTCATTCCGTCAGTGAGGAACAGAAGTGAGATTACACATCGGCGGTTTCGCCCCCCTTTTTTTCCGCCAGAAGTGCGCGTGAGAGCTCGACGACGACGTTACATACACGTGATCCGCGGCGGGGAGGGGTCAAAGGTCAAAGACAACAGGACCGCCTCACTCAGAGGAAGCGAGGCAAAATAAGCGCTTTTCTTTAATAAAAAGCTCTCGGTTACAAGCGCCATGCGGAGACGACCAAAGTGCATCAGTGCCGGTACCGGCGAGGCTCATGGGACGGCGTGAGACCCACTCGTCCCCCAGTACGAGCAGCAGACATCGAAATATTTGCATATTATGACGCATTATTATAATCACACCAACACAGGACGTCGAGATGGAAGCAAACTTCAAATCTCCTCTCGGTGACGTCGTGGCGACGGTTACGTTTCTTCTTTGCGGGAATAAAGCATCCGACGCTTCCTTTGTCCCTGGAAGAACTTTGTATACTTAAAAAAATAACTTTCATTCATCAACATGAAGTCTACAATTTGCCAGGAACAAAAACAAAGCACAGTTGAGCTCAAAAATAAGGACGCTTAAAGAAAACACTGACTCCAGTGGAGATGTGAGCACGATCAGCATGACTTCTTCCTCCACTTTGGACAGAAAGTCAACAGATTTTGGTCAAAAATTCCAGGCAGGCGACCAAAACCAGGAATAAAGTCGTTACGGTTCCCGTTGCTGCAGACGGACGCATTCAGCCCAGCCGAGTCGTGACCTCCGACCCCACGGGACGCCTCAACAACAGAACGTACTCCTAACAATTACAATATTACACTCACACCTAAATTGGGGCGTCACTGATGTAACAGCGCTACCTGCCCTCGTCTGGTGGACGTCTTTACAGCATTGCATTGGGGGATATTTATGCCGATGTTTGTACACTAAAACAGTATTATTGAATTGATGCAACACTGAGTCGGTGCGAAGGAGCGGCCCGTATGTTTTAGCGCATTAAATGCGTTGCGTTAGCGTGACATCTGCTGCGCCCTAGTGGTCCAATGTTATTTAACGCAGGCGCATGTTCCCGTTGTGAGAAAGAACGAAAGCGCTGTCAACGGCTGTCAGGTCGCTGCGAGGAGTTCCAGGCCCGCAGGGAGGCGTCCGCGTGCAGCCGGTCGAGCTTCACAGTGAGCAGGAAAGTGCGGCGGAGGAAGGCGGATAAAAGGCGCGCGAGGGAACATGATGAAGGAGATAAAAAAAACACGGCGTCACAGCGAGTCCTTCCCTTTCATGTAGTCATTTATAGTGAAATTGTAAATGAATCCTCTTAGAAACGCTCGGATCAGAGCGCATATGTGCGATGAGCCAAAACATATTCTGTTTAAATTCAGATGTGTTTAAATCACCCACATCATCAATCACCCAATCTGATGCCTGGAGGAGTTTTAACCCTGTGAGCTCCATCCTGAGCCGAACCGACTGGGACTTGGGAATGAAACATCGAGACATCGAATCTTTCACATTCATTCTGGATATAAAAACGTTACGATCCTGCTGGAGTCTTTTCTCAGGCATCTTCAGCCCATCATATTGCTTTGATATGACATCATGCAGCGGTTAGTTCTCAAAAAGCTCTGTTGGGAAAAAGGTGAAGGAGTGACATTAGTTTAGTGTCTGTTTCAAAGATTTGATCGATCGCGGCGATTCGCCTCGCTGGGCCGTCGATTGGGGTCAAAGCCACCAGACGGACCCTTTGAAGCGGTTTCCTTCATCACAGTGAACAAAAGTTAAAGCCATGTTTCATTATTGCTAAAAGGTCAAACCCCCCCCGAGGAGCATGAAGGTCACGACCGCGAGTCAAAATCTGCCTCCTCGGCACTCCGGTCCGTAACCCGGATGTCTCCCCGGCGTGCGGCGTGCTCGCGGTTTCCGATTCCCGCCGGTCGAACCCGCGCGCGTCCTGGCTAGGAGAAGCTGTCCCCGTCCGAGTCGGGGGACGGAGGCCGCGAGGTCTCGAAGAAGGAGCCCGAGGACTTGCGCGACTTGAGGAGTCGCAGCATCTCGGCCAGCTGGGACTCCAGCGCCGCCATGCGGCCGTTCAGCGAGCGGATGTCTCCCCTCAGCTCCTGCTTCAGCTCCAGGAAGGAGGCCTGCGCGCTGGCGTCCGGCGCCGCGCAGAGCGCCGCCTTCTCCTCGCAGCGGACGGGGCTCTGCTCCGCCGGCGTTCTGGCCTCGCCGGCGTTGTCCAGGCGGAGGTCGCTCTTGGTGATGCCGCTGTCGCAGGAGTCCGTTTTCTTGAGCGGCGTCTCGTCCTGGGACTTGGTCCGGTCGGGCAGCGTCTCCATGGACTCGGCCTTGGAGACGCTGCTCCAGGACTCGGCCTTCCCCACCGTCTCCCTGAACCGGCCCCAGCCGCGGGCTTTGGGCGGCTCCGCCGATTTGCAGCCGACGGGGCCTCCGTTCGGGGCGGCGGGCGCGTGCAGCACGACTCGGCTGGAGGGCTTGGACGAGGCGGCCGCGGCGGTGGGCGTGGCCGCCGGGCCCTCCGTCACCATGTCGATGCGGGTGGAGGCCAGGATCTTGGGACCTCGGGGCGGCTCCGGGGGAGCCGCGGCCTTCTCCACGTCGGCGCGCTCGGCCGCCAGCCGCGCCTCCCTCTGCTGCCGGAAGCGCTGGAAGAGGCGCCGGACGGGGTGATCGGGCGGAAGGTTCAGAGGAGCCTCGTTCTTCCGCCTCAGCATCTCCTCTTCCTCGCGTTTCACGTCGCTGATCTTCCGGAAAACGATCTGTAAAAAAAAAAAAAAAGACAGAAGCGATTTCATTATGTTTAACAAATGTCTCTAAGAGAATGTGAATCAATGAACTGATAAGAACTGAAAATGGAGACAAATTGATGAAGCTTTTGACGCACAGTGAAGAACTCGTGGACTTATTTAGACCCTCAGTAATGGAATTAGGTTTGCTGAACAGTGTTTCATCTTGAGAATGAAGATCTCCTAATTAAACGCTGTGCTGGATGGAGACATCGTAACCAGAGGTCATCGAGACCTCCTGACCTCTGCCCAAGTCCGGCCGCCGCTTTGTCCCGACTGTGCCGAGGCGTCATCAGTATGTTAACCTCCCCACCCCTCCCTCCCCCCCTCGAGCCAATCGGGAAGCTCCTGACCCGCTGAAATCAGATCGCGTGGACGGAGAGGTGGCAGCCGGACGGTTCTCAGAGAGCCCCCAGGAGGAGGGAGGGGGGGGGGGAGGAACGTGAGAGGACTGCTGATGTTCAACTACTGCGCCCCGGACTTTTTGGGAAAAAACCCTTATTTTTGCCCCTTACAGCCCCCCCCCCCCCCCCCCCCACGGATTACTGGTCCAAACGAGGAAAATGTGAAATATGGCGGACTGTGTGAAGAGGATTTGCTCCCTGCATAGATATTTATATATATAAATAAATATATATAAAGTCTTTTTTTCGGGTGATTATGCAGAGTTATGAATAAATACCTCCACACTTCGTCTGTTCATTTCAGATGAAATGGAGGTAAAGTTTGAGGTTTGTGGCTCCACATTAGCAGTGTTGCGTCAGTGGTTTTGTGGGTTTGGAGGTGAGAGACGCCCTGCAGGTCGTTTCTCCACCAGCGCCATTATTGCACAACCAAGCAGAACAGGACACGACGGCGTCCACATCGATTTACAGCAGGGGAGAGAGCGAGAGAGAGAGAGAGAGAGAATACTGTCCCAGTGAAATCCCCTTATAGGGAATGTTCTTAACTCATCTTGTTTTAGATCAGGGTCTATAAAATAGAGGAACAGAAACTTTCTTTCTTTTTCCTTTCTTTCTGTCTCTGACATCCACATGTTGCGACTAACGGGTTTTAAACATACAATTTCCTTGTATGTCTGACATATTTTGGTAATAAATGTTTCCTGATTCCTGAAGAAAGCACATGTGAGAGTGTGTTGACCTTCAGGCTCCGATCAGCTGTATGTTTAATATCGTATCTTATTTCCAGAGGACCTGTTGAGCTTTGTGCATCTTTCCCAAACTAGAGCGTTTTAAATATCAGCGTTATCATTTTAATGATTAAAATCATTTCTTAAATCTTACAGCTGATCGAACCTAAAATCGCTGCTTGAATGTTGTTGTTGATCCGATCAATAGGTCTGATTAAATTGCCCTTTGTGGGGCTCGAGACACATTTATGTTCTTCTACTGATAATGTCAGAGAAGAAGAAGAAGAACCACAAGGGGCCAAAGGTGAATCCACATCAAACTGCTTATTCAGTTAATTTCACTACAGTGTAGAAATACGTTGGCGTGTAGACGTACAGTTCATGCATAATCATTAATCATTTTGGATCATTTGTGTCTGGGTGGGGGGTCGAGGGGGGGTGTTGTAAGATGGCGTGTTTGCATTGCAACCCGACCTCGGATGCTCGGCCGTGCAGCGTGCGTGTTGTTAGAGCAGCTGCCGGAAAAGTCTGCAGAGGGAGCGAATGAGTGAAACGTCTCATTGTTGTTCTGGGCCAAAAAAATAATATTAATGCAGGAGGTGAAATGAGAGGATATTTAGAGAAATAGGGTTTTAACATCAGATAGCGAGTAAATTGCGATAAACTCGTCCCAGCCCACGCAAAGATGGCCGCCACGACCGAGCGGCGAATCGAACGTTTAAATTTAAATTCGTCGTGCGGCCGTGGAGGGGCTGAACTCTGAGCGCTGAGCGCGTCGACAATCGGCTGAGGTGTGAACGCCGTCGAGGCGTCATCGCCCGCCTCCGCGCGCTCACAGCTGCTCCGCGGGGGGGAACAAAAGCCGCTCATCCGATGTCCTTGGTGTGAGAAACCCGGCGACGACAGAGCGGCTCCGGCACCCGGCTGCAAGGCGAGCCGAGGTCATGTGACTCAAACCCCCCCCCCCCCCCCCCCCCCCGGCCCGACAGACACAGAGACACAGACAAACACGTCCATCCGCTTCGTCTATGCTCCTTTCGGTTTGATTTCAGCAACATTTCGAGGGGTGTTTTTATTACGTCTGTAACAACAGACACAGAGAGGACTTCTTCTTCTCTTTGTCTCCAAAATATTCTCTTTTTAGAAAGTCCTCGTTACAGATAAACGTTATTTTGGGTGTGTATTTTGGGTGCAGACTCACCCTCTTCCTCAGGTTGTAGGTGAGCACCAGGTTCCTGGCAAAGTGGTTCGCGAAGGCGGCGTAAAACTCCAGAACTTTCTGCAGCGCGTCCCGCTTGATGATGTGCAGGTCGCAGTAGGTCAGCGCTCGCACGTTAGCGCAGGACTGAGCCAGCGTCATCTCCTTCCAGAAGACGGCGCCGAACACGTCGCCTTTACCTGCAGACGCAACAGATATGTACATACATAACAATACTGTGCATAAATAAATACATGTATATGGATGTATATGCGTATTTACACACGCACACATTTAAATAAATATACATCCATTTGAATAAAGCTGTACTATAAATAAATATTTACACAAGACAGTACGTGTAAATATATATATTTCAAAATAGAGTCACAGAGACACAGAATCTAATTTGTATTAGAAACCCGTTTCATTAAAAGAGACTTTTTATTAAAAGGCAGAGAAAACTCTGGTTTCTCTTTAAGGGGTCGGACCTTCCTCTGCTCTGTGCAGCCTGGAACATCTGTCACAACACATGGAACATAGTTCTGCTTCCGATGTCACAGATTTATCTCCCTCAAACGGATAAACGGATAACGGACAACACGTCGGAGGTTCACGCTGACGAACGCCGTCATTAACCAGGAAGCAGAGGACGCAAGGAAAGTAGATGAGAAGAGAGCACAGACTTCACATTGTTAGCGGAGAAAGTCCAAATATTTATCCAGAGACGAACCGAAGGCAATTCAGTCTGCAGACAACCCCCCACCCCCTCCTCCCCCTCACCAAGAAAAAAGAGAAAACGTGCAGCTCATGCTAATGTTAGCATGTTAGCTCTCACAGGAATTCATTCATGTTATTCAAAACTGAAACACAGATGAAGTCAGAGGATGAGTCGGCAATTAGGTTCCTTTCATCCAAGCTGTTGACATTTTAAACAGCTCATGTTTTATGCAGAAGAGAGCAGAGTGTGTGTGTGTTGCAGAGAGAAGAGTGTGTGTGTTGCATAGAGCAGTGTGTGTGTGTGTGTGGGGGGGGGGTTGCATAGAGCAGTGTGTGTGTGTGTGTGTGTTGCAGAGAGCAGACGGTGTGTGTGGGTGTTGCAGAGAGCAGCGTGTGTGTGTTTTGCATAGAGCAGTGTGTGTGTGTGCTGCAGAGAGCAGAGAGTGTGTGTGTTGCATACAGCAGTGTGTGTGTGTTGCAGAGAGCAGACGGTGTGTGTGTGTGCTGCAGTGAGCAGAGAGTGTGTGTGTTGCATAGAGCAGTGTGTGTGTGTGTTGCAGAGAGCAGAGCGTGTGTGTGTGTGTTGCCGAGTTGTGTTGTAGCACAGTGTGCGTGTGTTGCATAGAGCAGAGAGTGTGTGTGTGTGTGTCTGTGCTGCAGAGTGTGTGTGTGTGTGTTTTGCAGAGTGTGTGTGTTCTGCTCACTGCGCAGCGTTCGTATATCACGGAGCGGTGAAAGAGCTCAAAGAGCTTTTGAGATTTCCTGAATGAATCTCGAAGCTGCTCCGCTTCAACAGTCTCCTCCTCCGTCAGGTTTCTTTGTGTTAGTTTCTCTCCCTCCGTCGGTTAAAACCGAAAACAGGCAGCATGTTTTATTAGGAAAATAAATAAAACTGATGCTAATGAGCCCTGCTGCTTCCTGCCTGAAATGTTCTTTGTTTCTGACGCTGTGAGGAAACAGCGCAGCGTCTCTTCTGTTTCTGTGTTCGTGTGTGTGTTTGTGCAGCAGGTGACTCCAAAGAGCTCTTTCACGTGTGTTTTCGGGCTCAGCTGTTTGCTCAGCGATCAGGTGGTAGAACACAGTCGCACAGTGAAAGAGGAGCTTGTGACGCAGCTGAGGGAGCCTTGATACGCGCTGATGGAACAAAGTCTCTCAAATCAGCAAAACAAGACAATTGCTCCTCAAGCGAGGAGGGAGATTCATTGTTCCTCCATTTAGGAACCTTTTTTGCTACGTCATGAGGAATCTCGTTGTCACTGTTGAAAAATCGATGTTGATTTTCTTTGATTCATTGTTTTCTACCCTTTTATAACGTTTCTTTGTCCTATTACGTAATAAGACAGTGCTGGTTTCATCTGGTTTAAATATGGATTTTCCAAAGATGAATCTGTAATGATCAGCTTCTTGCATGGAGGAAATCTGCTGCGACTCACAATCGTGAAAAGTAACTTTAATGTAAGTGATATTAAAGTTGATGCCTCGGGTGCTGCTGAGGAAAACCTGTGAGTTTTATCGCAGAATCCCGACTTCCTCAGTCATCGAAGAACCATAACTCACCTAAAATGGCCACCACCTCGTCGTCCTGGATGACCTCCAGTGACCCCGACACCACGAAGCAGAGGCTGTCCACGCTCTCTCCGGCGTGGAAGATGAGGTCGCCCGGCGCGCTGTGGACGGTCTGGAACTCCATGGCGAGGGCGCGCAAGCAGCCGTCGCTGGCCAGCCGGAACGCCGGGTGCTCCTTGAACACCTTCCTGTTGAGGTGGACGCAGATATCCGCTCGCATGTCCTTGGGACAAATCTGCAGCACCTGCAGACAGAAGGGGCCGAACCAAGGTCCAAGTTAGGGGACATTAGGGTCTCACTAAGGTCACACCGAGGTCATACTGAGGTCAGACGGATGCATTTCCAACTCTCGGTCAACGGGAAGTTGAAAGACAAAATAAAAAAAGGGGGCTTGATGATTAACGCCACGGCGTTACCTTGTCGGTGTCGATGCCTCTGGACATGGACCAGGTGGACACGATGTAGTCCATCACCCTCTCGCTGAGGCCTTTGGGGACCTGGTAGAGTTTGAGGAAGTCCCTGACGCTGTTGAGCATCTCGTGGTAGCGGTTGGTGTTGGCGTACATCTGCTGGAAGATGGTGGTGACGTTACCGAAGATGGTGGCGTACAGCAGCGCTGGCGACGAGGAGCAAAGAGCGTTTACATTTTAGATCTACGAGACGTTAGTTCACGCATTAGTGTTGTACATCCAAAGCGATCCCATGTGGCGTTATATTAACTGGAAATACGTTTTACTGAACTAAAGAGAACGTCTTCTTTCATGTCAGAAAACGAATTCACATTTGATGAATGAAGCGCCGCCTCATGCTCATTAATGAGCGCCGAGGCAAACAGAATAATGGAGGATCATTTCCCGTCTCTTTGAGCCTAGTGGAGGTCGCCTTTGCATTTCCAATAAACTGTGCATTGTTCTGAAAAATGATGCATTGCTGTTTTTAAAGAAACATTTCTGCAGAAGGTTGCGCTTGGACATTGTAGTTTCTACAAGTCGTAGTGAATTTCTTTGGTAAACTTTAAAGCCTTGTTTCTTTAATATAAAACAAAGAAAATACAACCACGGCGAGTCGATTGCAGCAGATAAAGCATCATATGCAAAACAAATGCACCCTTTGGGTTTGATTTGCTGAATCCCCACGTTTGGTCCGGTGTCCCAGGAAGCAGATGGAGGATGCTCAGGAAAGCAAATGGACCGGTTATTTCTGTCCTTCCTCTCAGCACCCGACGCGAGGTCCCGCTAAGCGTCACAACGCTGGCGCTCGCTATGCTAATGACCCAAACTCTCATCCCGGATCCGGGATGCTGGCTGTCATAGCAACCGCTTTCCATCAGTCTCCAGCAGCACTCAGGCACTTGTTTTTCGTGGGCCAGGAAGCTGACAAGAGGTGGTGTTGGTGGGGAGGGGGGGGGGCTTAATTCAATACTCAGCTCCCTGCAGTGTTCCACATGAATCTAAATGCAAAAGCAAAAAGGGGTTTACCCAGACTGCATTGCTGCCCCCCCGCCGAGGGACACGGCGTCAGCGCGGGATGAGCCCGTGCGCCGAGCGCCACGCTCGCCTCCTGATCTAATGAAAACTATGTGAATGAATCAAACACACCGTGTCGTTTACAAATGGGTCCACACGCGGTGACCTCAATCACGGGTTTAGTTAAAAAAGAAACCGTCCGAAGGTGCAGCGATTCATCCATCAGTGGTTCGGTTTGGAAGTCGGAGGAGAGAGCGGAGCCGCTTGGAGGAGGTGATTGATGATGGAGGAACAGACGACGGAGGCTTCTCATGAAGGAGACTAATTGTCAACATTAGAAGGTCGCTGGGGAAAGCTTTTTACCCACAGGTGTTCTGGGAAACCTCCACTAAGCATCTGTCTCCTCTTAGTGTTACACGCTGTGTGGAGTCCGCCCAGATGTTCACGTTGGGAGGAAAACACGAGAAATGTATAAAAGCTTCACTATTAAAAGACGCACAAGAGTCTTCAGTAGCAGAGGTAGAATTATGTTTTGCAAACACGAAAGTAATAAACGAAATGAGCGTCTGAATTAGATCAGATTAAGATTATTAATCCACAGAGAGGAAAGCAATTAGGTTGAAGAAAAGAAGTTCATCAGAGTAAACAAAATATATTTTAGATATTTAAAGACGTCACTGGACTACGGGAAGAGTTTTGACTAAAGGATCTATTCATTAAAAACAATAATCAGCAGGCTGACGAGTAGCCGTTACTTGATAGCATCTCCTCCTCCTCCCTCCATCCCTCCGGCCTGCTACGCCACCTCTGTCCCCCCGGCAGCTTCCGCTCCACTGGTGCCAGCCTGCTGTCTCCACCACTCAGGACCGAGCACCAGACCGGTGGTGACAGGCCCGTCTCCATGGCAGCGACCCGTCCTCTGTCCCATAACACACACCTCTGAGACCGTGCCCATCTGTCCACATTCAAATCCAAAATACCTTTAACCTGCGGATGTTGTTTATTTGTTCACTGTCATTTTTTATAATGGAAAGTGTGATGAAAAGCTCTTTATAAATGCAATGCCATGTTATTCAAATGTTTGTCTTTTTAATGCGTCTTTAATTATTATTATTAAGAACCAAAACTGAATAATGAGAAACAGTAGAACTAAATTCAATTTCATTATTATTAATTACCAAGACAACAAGTTTAACCACTGAATGATTGTATATCATTTATTTAAAAGTTTGCTGAAAAAACGCTGCTTTTCTTCCTGCCGAACCTCTTTCGCTCGTAAGAGACTAAACAGCAGAGGAGCCGAGGAGGTTTCACCGGGTCACGAGTTCATCCTCAGGAGAGAATGTGTTCGGGATCTTAACAAATATAATTCTGTATCTTTAAAAATCTTTATAATTGTGTACTTCACTAAGAACTCCTCCCTTCCCCGCTGCAGCTGCTTGTTGCCGGGCGGAGTCGCTCTGATACTGGACGGGTGTCCTGCAGCTCTCGTGCGTCCCGCTGAGCAGCTGGATGTGTGCAGACTGCAGCGGACTGCAGAAGCGGAGGTACGCGAGGCCGGCCGATCCGCCGCTGCGGTTAATATTTCAGTGCGGAACTCCGCCGCGTCAGGACTCATCATATCGCCGTCGCCGAGGCAACTTGCTGCTGGCGCCCGAGGCCGCCCCGTCGGATCGGATCTCACCAGACGGGCCTCTCTGAGCCTTCCGGTCATTTATTACCACGTCAGTTAAAGAGGTCGGGGTTAAGGTTAAATGTTAGATGTCATATTTGTATTGTCTGGTACTAACGACTCAGTGTTACAGTGCTAAAGCGTTCACAGACAGACCAAGAAATCCAGTGTGATATTTCAATCTATTTGACAGCTCTTATACCCCTAAAACCCGTTTGCAGACTTCTGCGTGTGCCATTGCAAACTGTGCCAATCATCAGTGAGCTGAACCCCTCTGCTGTCACAGCAGGTGCATTGAGACACGGAGACACGTTGGATACAAAGAGTTAGAAGGGTCTTTTTTTGTGTGTCAGGAGCAGATTAAAGTCCAGCTGAGAACCTGTACGCCAAGCTATTAATTCCAGTGAGTAACATTTCTATTCCAGCTCCTTTCTTATTGGATTAGACAAATTACAGACAACGTTTCCATAGAAACACTTACGTTTGCCAAACACACCATAGTGCATACGGTTGACAATATAAATATACATTTAATATATATTTATAAAGTAGCCAAACTGATCATCATTAGGATGAAACAACAACACTGGCCAAGACTGAGAATCTATTCCTGATCGGCTGCTGTTATCATTGTAATCTGTAGGTGTGCCGTGCAGAGAATATCATTTAATAGTGGAAGAAATCTGTCTGAAGTGATGCAATCCAAAGCCACACAGCTGCGATCCTCCATGCGAGGGCGAACGGACGATGTGGAGCTGGTGTGCGTTTGCGTCCCGGCTCAGGCCGCAGACAGCGGGGACCTCGCTTTGCTTCTCGCAAGCAGCCGTGACGACGGATCCAGGTTCCCAGATTATCTTCATACTACCGTCTGTTCAAAGGAGCCTTGCTCAGCGGGGGAGATTTCTCTACTCCCAATACGTCACTCTGGCTTAAATAGCTTTTTCATCACCGACACGCAGCATGCGAGATGAAAGCAAAGAGCACATCTGGAGTAGCTCGTTCTGAAGGTGCAGCTACAGACGCCACACAACCACACCTTAGAGCTCCGCCCGGCTACGTTGTTGGGCTTGATGTTGTTTTTTTTGAGGTGGAAGAGGCAAACTGCTTTTTATTTTGCACCAAATCCACTAATTTTAGCGACTGAATAGCAGACAAACTGTGTATAATTAAAGCGGCTGCATCCGACGCCGCGTTCAATAACTGTGAAAAGGAAGAAGAAGCCCCGACTCACATCCGATCATCATCATGGCCACGGCGAAGATCTTCTCTCCGTCCGTGTTGGGCGCGATGTTCCCGAAGCCGATGCTGGTCAGACTGGTCATGGTGAAGTACAGCGAGGTGATGTAGACCGAGTCCTTGCTGGGCCCCCCCTCCCAGCGGCCCGTGCCCGAGGCGTTGAACCGGTACGGCGTGCCCACCGTCTCCCCCAGCAGGAAGAGCCAGCTGTCCATGCGCACGCTGTTGGTGTCCTCGTCGATCACCTCGTAGTCCCCGATGCTGAACCAGATGCAGGCCAGCCAGTGGGCCGCCAGGCCGAACACGCACACCAGCAGCACCAGCACGGCGGCGCCGTACTCGATGTAGTGGTCCAGCTTCCTGGCCACGCGGCCCAGGCGCAGCAGGCGGACCACTTTGAGCGAGCTGAAGAGGCTGCTGATGCCCTGCAGAGGAGAGACGGGGGGAGGGGGGGGATTAAGATTAAGATCAAGGGGGGAAGTTTTCATTCTTAATGTCCCGTCTGCAGTCACTGCTTTATTCTGCATTCTCTCGCCCGGCAGCTTTTGGTGTCAAAAACCTTTGACACTTTAACACATTTGGTGGCGTTTGGACTCATTCTCAACATTCCTATGAAACATCCTCTGAAAGGGTCGACAATGCGGCGAGGTTGTAATAGTTTGTGAGGCTGCGAACATCCACGAGGTTGTGGAGAGTTTCTTTAAAATATGCTCTCACAGCGTGAAATGTGATCGACCGTCATCACACAAGTACGATTGATCTCATTGGATCCACAGGAGTCTCAGCTTTGCACTCACACCCAATGTTTGCAATTCCCAGCGGGGTTCGGGGCACAAAAAAAAGCATTTATTGAATGCAAAACAATGGCTTGTTTGGAGGACCCGTTTTCATCCATTCAGACATCTTCAGGTGAAAGGTCAGTCCCAATTCGCCGTGATAGGTCGATGTATGAAAGCGAAACACATGACCGACATCATGTGATCTCACTGGTCCGCATGCTGTTAGATCCTCGTCCTCCACCGCGGCTTTTAAAAGTGGAGACGGGTGAGGTCGCCATGAAAGATTCATAAAACACGTATGAAACATGCAGCAGCTTCGCGCCGCCGTCTCTCATCGCGGCATCCAACCACCTGCGTTCATCAACGACGTTGTTTGCTCTCCCACAATGCACTGCTCCTCCATCGGGAGCCCCTGGTCGCCGGCGCTCAGAGACTTTCCTCACTTTTCCTCTGCTCTCATTTCTCGCCGGATTTATATTTTTAGATAAAATATTTTATGAGGAAATGGATTTGACATCTTGGAATGTGAACGTAAACAGAAACTCAACAGGGGCTTGAAGTCATTATTTTAGCAAAAAAGAAAGAAATAAAGAAACATTTGGGATTCTTCGCCTTCGTTTAGAATAAAGTGAACTGTGAGACAACTGAAGATGCTGAGAAACTGATTCCATTCAAGTTTACTCAGAACCTCTTTAGCTGATGTTGTGATTGTAATAAAGAATCCACACTTGATGGTTGGAACCAGTCGGGTGTGCGGGTTCCGTTTCTGTCGCTTTCTCTCTCACACAAAACGAACGGATTAGGAATCACTTTTCTCTTTAGGGAATTTGGTCGGAAAAGAGAAAACCAACCGACCGACAGCCCTTCCTGCCTGCTTTGAACGCCACACCGGTGAAGTGGTTTAGTCAGTGGACACATGACTGATTTCTTATATTTATGTATAAATATATTCTTGTTGCTGGAGGTTTCGCATTTGTGCCGCGTCAGCGGTCATGGCCTCTTTTCTCTCTCTGCACCTTTATGAGTCATTTCACGCTGGCAAGTCGAAGGATGTAAAAGCTCACAGGGCGACAGCCGACATTAAAGATGCATCAAAGCTGCGCCGCTTACGTCCTCTCTGAGGACTTCTGACGGCCGACAACAGAAATGCCTAAAAAACACAAATAAGCAGCTTTGTCTTTAAAAAAAGACTTAGTTTTCCGTAGTTTTCCTCAAACCACCGGGACTTTAAGAGGGAGGAATTAAGCCCACCGACCTCGTCGACGTTTTCGAAGGCGTTGATGACATCATAAGGCAGGCAGGACAGCAGGTCGATGACGAACCACGTCTTGACGTAGTTCATGCGGATGAGCTTGGGGTCGGAGATGACCTCGCCGGCCGGCCCGACAAAGGTGGTGTGGAAGTTGAGGACGATGTCGACGAGGAAGATGACGTCCACGATGCTGTCCACCACCAGCCAGGTGACGTTGTTCTGCTTGGTCTTGAAGGAGACGTTGTAGGGCACCATGATGGCGGTGTAGAAGGTGAGGATGAGGATGACCCAGTCCCACGTGGTCTTGAAGAGGCAGTAGTGCAGGATGATGTGCGGCGGGGTCTTCGGGGTCTCCTGTTTGTACTGAGGCAAGATGTCCGAACCCAGCTGCAGAACCTGAGAGACAGAACGCAGGGTTTTCACAACCTGCCAAAGCGCCGCGGAGATTTTCACCAAAATCTGCTGCACGCTGAGCTCCGAATATATTTAACAGTCAGATTGTTAACTTTTTGGTTTTTATTTGTGGGAGGACCATTTATTTTAATCATTTGCTTTATTTCTACCAAGAGTTAAATTTAAAAGGAAAAAGGTCAAGCAAAAGATAAACTACACGATATCATTTATAATAAATGAAAGCATTAAATTATACAGAAGAGCATCAACGTTGGAAGCTGTTTTTTAGTTCATCATTTTAAAATGTTGGGTTATATAAATATAACAACATTAAATAGAAATCCTGACAGGAGGATAAATATCCAGATTTCATGTTGCATTCCAATAAAGGGAACCGGACTCTTTCAACTGTTACATCTTAATTACATTATTATTACATCTCCACTTTGTCATTACAGCAACGTACAAGTGATTATCGGCATCGAGGTATCTGAAACATAATGAGTGAATTAACGCGCCGCTCATAAAGAATAAAATACCTCGATTTTACAGGAGTTTTAATGTGGAGGACAAACAGCATCTCTCGTACCCATAAACTCTCGATAATAGACGACTTCCTCAGAAAGGATGTCGTGCGGTTAGCGGGGGGATTAGTCACAGTTAATTACCTCTAAAGGGATTTAACAGCCTGTTTGCAGGGAGCTGATACAACAAAATACACGTAACGCATTTCCTTTCTTATGATCTGGAACAAAGAGCTGTGAGGACGGTCGGCGCTCCGACGCCCTGCAGATTATCACAAGACACAACAAGGGACCAACGCACAGAGGAAAGGTGGAATAATTAAATATGAAATTATGCAATCAATTTATGTTCATGCAAAGACCCCGGTGTTGTTAAATTTAACTTTATTTATTTGTGTGCCTGGATGCAAACATCACGTCAGTGTCAGCTGAAAATATGTAATCCTTTTTAAATCTTTGTCTCCTTTTGCACTGAAAATCTTCATTCAATTAGACAAAACCTTTATTGTCAAAGTATTTAATTCAATCTAGAAGTGTAACAGAAATCGTGATGTCAGTTGTTTTGGAGATATGAATCAACCTGCTGTTACTGTTTTTAAGTAAGTTGAATTTCTTTCTTACACAAATGTGATCTAAAAAGAATGAGTGGTCCGTGTGCTATTAAAGGGAAGGAATAATCAACTTCCATCTTTCCTACGAAGCCTCGTTCTGAGAACACTCATAACAGGATGAGACAGGATGTCAGAGCTGCTTTGTTCCAGATCAATGAAGAGTACCTCTCATCGCACGACAGAAGGAAAACATCAACGTTGAATATGTTTCCCGTCCTGTGTCATCTGTATTTTGGACATTGTTACGGCTCGGTTCAGATAAAGAGTCCTCATTTATAAAAACGTCGGGTTAAAGCCAATGGAAAGCTTTTGCAGAGACCATGTGACACGGCGAGTCACCATCTGTCAGTCTCGGTCCAAAAGGTCTTATTGAGATTGATGTCTATCCAAACGTTATCGTCACGGTTTCAAACCGAGCGCGTCAGGTGGAGGAGAAAGCGCTCTCACCTCGGCCAGCCGGGAGTGCTTGTGGACGTTCTCTCCCTTCTGGACGGCCGGCGCGAGCTGCTGGAGAACCCCGCGGCTGCTGGTCAACGCTCGGGTCAGACGGGCAAACTTACCCCAACCTGCCGAATAGAAGAACGCCACAAGAGAAGGATTTCAAAGTAAAACGACGGGACAAAAGCGCTGCAGCTTTGAATCACGCTAGAATCTCAAAGGTCTCGTTCGCTGGCAGATTCTGTATCAATGTTGTTTTGAGGCTACATTTATTGTCATTGTACACAGGTGTGCACAACAGAATGTGGCTATACTGCCTTTACTCTACATAAGAAACACAAGTTTATACAGAGGCCCGAAAATGGCTTTTGATTGATGAGCTAAAAGATGAAAATTATCATTAAAAAAAGCCTCACGACATTTGCCACAGACCTTTTTTTTTGTCAATAACCAAATATGAAATTATATATTTTGAGGGATTAAAACAACCAGCGAGTCTGTGCAGTTCAGACGTTTGTACGCGTTGAGATGACGTGTTACCAGACACGCCCACCTTTCACAGAGTCGTCCTCGATTGGCTGCTTGAAGGCGGTGATGTCACTGAAGGTGCAGAGAAACAGGACCACTTTGTCCTGCTCGTTCCTGATGGGAGCGATCTTCACGAAAAACCAAACTGGCATCCCTGCGGCACACGCACACACGCACACATACAGGACGTCAGTCAGTCTCCTTGTTCCTCACAGGAATTATGTGTCAACACACTCCACAGCACACGTCCACGAGAGAGACGTGTGAAGATCGGTCCGCTTCACCGCGTCTCGGTACGGAGGAGCGTCTTATTTCGTGTGGAGTTGTAGTTTCTAGATCGGCAACAGTAACGTTTACAACGAAAATGTCACTATTTGAACACACACACACACACACACACACACACACGGGTCCTTTAGCAGACGCTTTTATCCAAAGCGATTTACATTGCACTTTAAACCCATGGCTTTTTTCACATTTTTGCCTGGGGAGCAATTAGGGGCTAGGTGTCTTGCTCAGGGACACTTCGACATGGAACATGGGGCAGCCTGGACTCAAACCACCAACCTTGTGCTTCCCAGCACACCTTCTCTGTTTTAAAACTTTAAAACATGCAGTCTTAAATGCTCGTGCACGCTGGGTAACAAAGCATCAGTTTGGGTTGTTTACAATGACCTGCTGACTCATCCTCCTGTTTATGCTTTGTCCCAGTTTAGGACTCAAAGCTCACAAGCTCAAGCCTCTGGGTTTGTTGTGTGTGTGTGTGTGTGTGTGGTGGGCAAGTCGGGTCGGGTCAGGGCTCTCTCATCCGCTGAAGCGACTGACCGCTCACTCACGGTTTTTCTTGTACATGAGAATCTCAAACGAGTTCATCTCGTAGTTCTCGAAAGGTCTGCCGAACCTTCTCCGCCATGTCCTTGTCCGTCAGCTCCCCGTACATGAAGCTGCAGGAAGGAGAAACACACACACACATACACACACGCGCGCACACACACAACGGTGAGCCTCGCCGGGTCCGACCTCGGCGTGGGCGGGCGAGGTCGCTGCCACGTACCTGCAGGTGCTGCTCTTCTGCATGACCTCGGCCCGGTGGAAACCCGACAGCTTGCAGAAGCCGTCGTTGCTGTAGACGATGGGCCAGTCCACGATCTGAGCGTTCCCCAGCACGAAGTTGGTGTCTGACCGGGCAAACCAGCGCGGTTACGATGAGTCACGTGACCGCGTGTCTCACATGGCGGAGGGCCGCGCGGTCGTTTATGGCCGGTGACAATTATCTTTGTTATTCCTTAGTTTGCAGATTATTTTCTCAATTAACATTGGGTCTGTGAGAATGGACATAATGTCCACGGGGACATTTTCAAATATGTCCAATAAACAGAAATAAATCACACTGATAAACTGACACCGGTGATTCTTTTCTTTTAAATTGAGTAAACTACTGTTTGATTATTGTAAAATTGTTGCCAATTCATTAATGTGTGTTTTCGCAGCTCAGTCCATAAATTAATTAATCAAGACTTATTTTTTCCATTTTAGTGGTAAAAAACATTTTGTTCCCAAAAGACAAATGAATAATTGGGATCAATAATCGCGTCCTCAATATAAAGCCAATCATAATTGTCATATGCGCCATAATCCTGCAGCAGAGAAAAGATACGTGATATTTATCTTTTCTCTTTCTACCCACATATTCATCCAGCTGCGATGTAGCGGAACACGTGTGAACCTGTGTGCGTTTGTGTGTTTTATCTCCATCTCTGCTTGTGTGTGTGTGGTCGTGTGTGTTGTGCGTGTTAATGAAGGAAACCTGTAAAGTGTTTCCTGTGCACAGGTGTGGTTTTTTCTCATCATCCACCTTCAGAACGGACTTCCTATTATTTCACGCTTCAGGTTTATTTTCTAAACAAAGGACCGAGTTGAATCCCTAAAGAGAAGCTGACGTTCGCTGCCCCCCCCAAAAAATACATGACCAGTTAATATCACATAGTTCAGGACGCAGATTCGTTTTCACAATGAGAGACACACACGACGCCGTCGCGACCAATAAAACAAACCGCATGATGATGATGAATGAAAACACAGACAAAAATAATAGAATTCAGTTTCAGATCTCATCTTATAGGTTATTGTATTTCATAGGTTTTGTTTTTATTTATTTAGGTTAGCTGTGTATCAGCTTTCTACATCATCACTACAGCATTACAACATAATCCTGTTTAATTACAGATAATAGTGAATTAGTGACTCTTCCTAATTTCTAAAGGTCTTCAAAATAAAGACTAAAATGTAAATTAGCCCAAACCTCCCTGAAGAGATGAGAATTAATAGAGTGCACGAAGCGATCCAGTTAATTAAAATGCATCCCGACCTTCCCTCTAGCGCCACCATCAGGGCCGATGCTTTCTCCCGTGTGGCGTAATGAACACGACGGCCCGGCGGAGCTTCAGGCTCGACTCTTTCCTTTGTCAGCTCATTAATCGGGGCGAATCGGGCAGAATGTCCCGCTGATGAATTGTTCAGCCGCAGTTTATCGCACTGAATTAAACCGCGGCCTGACATCCACGACCTGCTGCTCATTTAACTGCACCGGGAAAACACAAGAAAGATGTTTGACGGAGAGAAATGTTTATGCACTTCGGTGTGTGTCAGAAAAAATATAATTAAGAGGTAAAATAGCTGCTGGTTTTATTTCAATAAAGCATGTTGACTCTACCGAGCTGATGCATGTCTGGGACCTGGGATATATACATATATGTATATACGTATATATGTATATATTATATACATATTTTACATATATATATGCACACACACACACATAGTATAATCATGGGTAGGTGGGAGGGGAGGGGTACATGTACACAACATTAAGTGGAAACACTGGTCTGTACCTGTCTGTCTATGTGATAATGTCCAAACTGAAAAGTCGAAAGGAAAAGTGGTTAAAGGAGCAAAAACAGATGAACGATCAAAGACGAACGAAAGCTGACGAGGCCCCCAAAAAATAAAATAAAGGCTACTTATAACGTACTACTACTACCTATAAGTAATTGATTATCATTTCAGTCCCTGGAGAGTAATTCAACTAAAATAACGATGAATGTAAAGCTTATTCTAAAAAGGGTTTCGTCACCCGACATCGGAACAGCAGCACAACTATTCACCACCGTCGTGGTGGACAGAGAGATATGTCTTAAAACGTGGTCAAATAAAACAGATAACAGAGTGATGCTTATCTTATTATATCATATATTATAAACATGTGTTACTGTATATGTGACAGTAAAATTTGGCTATAATTAGTGATGATCCTATTGTGGACTATTTAGGAATCGGATGAAGCAGCTCCTGCGTGGAAGCAGCAGAAGGTTTCTTTGCTCAACAAATAATTTCAAAATAATTAATGATGATGTATGTGTGTCTGTTAACTGTTTAAAACTCAAATAATTTTAGAATGTTTTACATAAGAATGGAATTACTGCTTGGGTTCAAGGTAAATGTGACGCTTTTAGAATATGAGACATCATTATTAAAACACACTGCCTTGTTAATCTGAATGTAAACTCTGTTGAACCAAGAAGCAGTCAGACAGGGTGTGCAATGTCAGGCCAATTAAAAAACAAGAAAAAGGATCAATTTATGTGTATTAGCTAACGTTAGTTTGAAAACACGGGTGTAAATATTCCTGAATAATCCTTCAAAAATGATACAGTGCTGATGTTCTTTATATGGAAATATTCAATGCAGCAAACATTAACTTATATGAAAGCATAACGTTATCTGATTACATGAAAACAATCCCATTAACGAGACGTTGGTTGAGTTTACGCGAAGGTTACTGGCTAATTACGTTAGCATCCTGCCGGTGAGCAGCCATTGTAAAACAAATACCTGTTAGCTTTGAGAAAGGCAGGTCAACTACTTAACGTTAGCTGGTAGCCTTTAGCCCGAAGGAACCAACCGCACAACCAGCAGGTTTCCCTAAAATAATCACAGCCTATCACAGCCGAGCTGTCCGATGACGACACAGCCGAACGGAACCACGAGGAGCGAGTCGACCGGGCGGAACCGGATCCTACCGTTGGACCGGCGGACGATGTTCTCCAGGAACGTGTTCTGGGGGGCCACGAGACCCCGCCGTCCTCCCGCCATCCTGCCGCAGCGCGAGAGCGAGCTGCTTCCCGCCACTCACATATCTGATGCCGCGCGAGCCCCGCGCGCGAGGAGGAGTGGGAGCCGCTCTCTCTCTCTCCCTCTCTCTCTTACTCTCTGATCATGTCCCTCTCTCTCTCCCATGCTGCCCCATGGTCTCTCTCTCTCATAGGCCGGATGGCGTGCCCTCTTTACCATGCTGCCCCATGGTCTCTCGTCTGCTCTCTCTACCATGCTGCCCAATGGTCTCTCTCGCCCATACTGCCCGATGGTCTCTCTCTCTTTACCATGCTGCCCGATGGTCTCTCTCTCTTTACCATGCTGCCCCATGGTCTCTCTCTCCCATACTGCCCGATGGTCTCTCTCTCTTTACCATGCTGCCCCATGGTCTCTCTCTCCCATACTGCCTGATGGTCTCTCTCTCTCTTTACCATGCTGGCCCATGGTCTCTCTCTCTCTCCCTCTCTCTCTCCCATGCTGCCCCATGGTCTCCCTCTCTCGCTCCCATGCTGCCCCATGGTCTCTCTCTCTCTCTCCCATGCTGCCCCATGGTCTCTCTCTCTCTCAGCAGGCTCGCGGATGGCAGATGTTTGCAGCCATCGTGAGGATGCTTGTGGTCGAGAGACCAGAGGTAGCATGTGAGAGAGAGGGACCATAGGGCTGTGTGGGAGAGAGAGAGAGAGAGCATAGGACAGCAGGTGAGAGACACATAGAGACAGGTAGAGAGAGAGAGACATAAAGTGAGATAGGACTACGAGAGAGTGAAAGACATGCAGAGCGGGAGACATAATGAGACATGAGACAGAGAGAGCGCGGGAAATAAAGGAAAGGAGAGAGACATGCATTGTGAGAGTCAGAGAGAAATAGACATGCATTAAAAGAGAGAGACACACAGAGGGATATTTCGAATGTTAAATTGACGACTTGAAGCCAGATGTTGAGACCATAAACTCACAGTGAAGAGAGAAGTAATTTTCTCATTGACTCTCGCAGGGGGAGTCGCCCCCTGCTGGTCAGCAGAGAGAATGTCAAGTTGAAAACACTTCGGCATCGCCTTCAATCGGCAGAGGAGGTTGAAATGACACATTCATAGCGGCCATTAAAAAAGTTGCCAAACTCACTTTAATAAATGATGTCGAGTCAAAGACCGGGACATAAAGGCAGTTTTAACCACCCGGGGATCTGCACTAAATTATGCTCTGTTATTTTTGTACTATTGCTTTTTGGGGGTTTTCTGTATGTTTATTGTTTTTGTGTGTTTTCTATGTTAAATACTGTGGCTTACCCTACCATCAATAACTGAGAAATATTTTTAAAATGTACCTTTTGACGTTTGACTTTTCATCATTTTTTAAAGTAGTTAATTGTACTATATACTGTCAGTATGGACAGATTGCCAGTGGCTGCCCTGCTTTAGAAACGTGCATTTATTGATAGTTATTGATTTATATCATTGATTTATCCAAATCAATGAAATTGAAATAATTGATCAGTTTAAATCTGTCCCGCGAGCATCATGGGTCCTGTCTGTATGACGGAAGTGTTTAGAGTTAAATTGTTGAGCGGTGTCTCCCCCTGCTGGTCATTACGAGTCGGTGCAAAAACACCACTTTTATTAAAGATTCCCAAACATCACAGACTCCGTTTTTCTTTTATTTATCTTACTATGGGCCGTGTTGCTGTTAAATATCCGTTTTAATGTGGCTTTGTAGCTATTTTAATTATCGTTTGTGTATTAGTTTGCTGTTGGCGGAGGGATCCGCTGCTACAGAAGCCGCAGTAGCTGGAGTCGCACCGCCGCCAGAGGGTGCGTAAAAAGCCTTCCGCCGCGGTGGTTAGACCCCACTCGGTAATCGCTTTAACTGGTAAAAGAAAAACCTCCCCAGCGGTTGATTTCGCATATTAACACTATCTAATATCCAGAGGAGACTCTGCTGTTGAGATCTACGAGGCCTTATGGCCCGAAGCGATTGTAAACAAAGCGGCGGGAGCAAAGAGAGGAGCGCGACAGCGACGCGGACGGAGCGGTGGCGAGCGAGCGAACAGCAGCGGAAAAAAAAAACTCCAGCTCCTGGTGACATTTTATATTCCGACACCGCGGCGGAAAAAACGGCGAATTCGAGCGCTAAAATGCCGGGAATGATGGATAAAGGCTCGGAGTATTTAGGGAAAGGTCGATCCAACGGCACGAAGAGTCCGTCCAACGCTTCTAACGGACATTTTTCTGACGAAAGCGGCAGCGACGACGAACACGGTGAGTATAGCCTCGAACAGCGTCTTGTCGCTCGCGTATATGTGCGCGTTTTTAACGGGCGCGATTCTTTTTTGGAATCGAACTTGTGTTGTTTTTCATGCTGATGTTTTTCCCAGATGTGGGTATGCGGGTCGGAGCGGATTATCAGGCCAATATTCCCGAGTTCGAGCCCGGTGAGTTTTTTTCTACTGGTTTCTACCTGAGTGACGGACGAGGGTAGCCTCGGTACGTGTAGTCTATCGTGAACTAACGTTACCAACACAGCGAGAACACAGTGACCGAAGCGGAACAATTTAAACGGTGTGCCAGTTCATTTTGGCGGCTTTGCCCCCTTGAAATGAGCTGCGGAGAGAAACATGGACCGAGGCTATCTCTCCTTCTCACTGACAACTTGTGACATTCGGGAATTTTTGTTAATGAAGCTTGATGGAGTGAGTTTGTTTACATTCATCTCCCTCAGTTTCTCTCCACTGTAGTAATTCATTTAATGTATATTCTTTGCAGTGGGAGAAAATACGGCCGGCAAAATAATGAAGATAAAACTGTTAATAATAATTATGAATTATTTAAACAATAAATACATTTTAAATAAATTAATAGTCTTATGTCCTATATTTTATTGTCTAAATTCAATTTTATTTCCATTTTTTATTTTAGGCCAAATTTTTTAACAAAAAAACAATTAAACAGCATCAGGTTACCTTTTTTTATTTAAGAACAGCCTGTAATGCGTACAAAGCATTTAGGACAAACTTATCAATGCCTTTTAAAATTAGTTATGAAATTGAAATGTCCAGACTTTGATTCTCTATTATGGCTCAAAATAAGTCTCTCACAATGCAACAGAACTTCGGACCGATCCTTGGAGGCACAGAACATATTTCAACAGTACTCTGAACTTTGATGAACTTTGTCAATGTCGCGGTTTAGAAGCTAAAACTGAGAAATGATGTGTTTGTTCAGGCTCCACTAAGTACACAGATAAAGACAGCGGAGGGATGCTGGTTTGGTCTCCGTATCACACCATCGTCGACTCCAGGCGTAAGTCAACTCACACACACACACACACACACACACACACACACCTGCACACAAACACACACACACCTAAATGTGTGTGTCCTCCACAGTGGACGAATACATCGCTTTGGCCAAAGAGAAACATGGATACAACGTGGAGCAGGTGAGTTACTCTCATCTTTCTGTTTTAGCCCCCCCCTTAGTCTAATCACAGAAAAATACAGTACGTTTGTGTGCGTTTGTGTGTGCAGGCCCTCGGCATGCTTTTCTGGCACAAACACAACATCGAGAAGTCTCTGGCCGACCTGCCGAACTTCACCCCGTTTCCAGACGAGTGGACGGTGGAGGACAAGGTGCTGTTTGAACAGGCCTTCAGCTTCCACGGCAAGAGCTTCCACCGCATCCAGCAGATGGTAAATGCCCGTCTGTTTGTTTGTTTACCACCATGCATGCGCCATTACTGCCACAACGTCACACAGAACAATGTAACTAGACACTCTTCACTGATCTGACGTCTGTAGCTACACATCACTTGTCAGATGATGTTTTTTAAGCGACTTCAAGAGCGGTAAATGTTGAATTTTTGGTCACGTTCTTCCTTCAGTTACCAGACAAATCCATCTCTAGTCTGGTGAAGTACTACTACTCCTGGAAGAAGACCCGCTCCAGAACCAGCCTGATGGACCGGCAGGCCCGTAAACTGGCCAGCAGGAGCACGCAGGACGACAGGTGCGTCGCAGGGCCTCCGTCCCAAACCCCCCGTCCCAAACCTTCCGCCAGGAGGAGTGTTGATGCCAAAGTGCAGTAAGGAGAACGTTTCTGCAGGAAGTTAGAGAGTTAGTGGACACACCTGAAGTTTCAGGAGTTTCACCGTAAGCCATTTCTGTCATGGCCGACTGTGTTGTTGTCGTCAAAATGACGTGGACCGACTCGGCTTTGTGTTCTTGTTGCCGTAGTGATGAGGAGATGGAGGAGGCTCCTCCGATCGAAGCCCAAGACAGCGACTATGACCCCAGCAAGCTAACCAAGAAAGAGGTATGTGGACTCACCCGACCTGCTGTTACCACGACGACAGCAGATTGAAAGTCTTTTACGGGTTTTATAGATCAATTTGAAAATGTTTTTGTTTAATAAATTGAGTAACCGATTCAAAGATAATCCTCAAAATCTGTCCTGTGGCAGGTCTGCAACATTTCTTTTATTTTATTATGATTATTATTCTTTTTTAATTAGCTACTTTATCTATATGATTCTGTTAATGGGTCCACTCCATTTCTCTCAGTGAGCTTTGGCAGAATCACCTCTCTCCAACATAGTCAACATATCTAACACAGTTCGACAGCATAATAAACCACATACTTTAAAATCATCATGGAGTTGAATCAACACAAACGGAACATTACAACCTGAAGGAGGATTTATTACAGGAGCGTTGGACAGAAGACTGTTGGTTCAATCTGGTGTGCCTAATAAATCTGTATATATTTCATATATAAAAAGACATCCAAACATTTGAGAAGCTGGAGCCGGTCATTGTTTGTTTATAAAACAGTTTAAATGTTCATTTTTAGATTTAGATTTTTTTATTTATATATATTTGAACTTTTTCACAAATGCAACCCCAAAACTAACAACGCCCTGTTCCATGTTTGTTTCTTTTTGTCGGTTCCAGTTCAAACCCAGTTTGCCTTCTTCCCTCCAGAACCAGGTGGAGCCGGTGGTGCCCAACTCGAAGGTGGCGTTGGGTCGCCGGGAGCACCACACCCTGCAGCACCGGCACCACCAGCGCTCCCGCTGCCGCCCCCCGAAAGGCATGTACCTCACCCAGGAGGACGTGGTGGCCGTCTCCTGCAGCTCCTCCGCCGCCAACACGCTCCTCCGTCAGCTGGACATGGAGCTGGTGTCGCTCAAGAGACAGGTAGGAGCCGCCGCGCTCGTCCTCCCGCTCCACCCACGCACCTGAGAGAAGAAATCCATGCCCTTTTTTTTTAGCCAGCTTTTGACCACCGCTCGACGTTTAAGGCGTAACTGGTGACTTTTTTTGTGTTTGGCTGTCGTTTGTTCAGGTGCAGAACGCCAAGCAGATGAACAGCGGGCTGAAGCACATGTTGGATTGTGGGATTGAGGAGTTCAAACTGACGGAGGTGCGTCACCGGTGACCCTCGCGGTTATTGCTTTCCACCGTCTTTGTATTGTAATCACCACCAGAGAACAACACAGTTTGTCGCGCCTTCCTCTTCCCGTCAAACCGTTAACCGTCAGTCGTTGCTGTTGCAGTGTAACCAGAAGGTCAACGCCCGCTGGACCACAGACGAGCAGCTGCTGGCGGTTCAAGGTGAGCTTCTTCCCAGGTGGTAAAGTAACGGGTTAGAAAAGGAGCTGAAATCCGACACGATGAAGAACTTCTGTTCCTGTTTTTAGTTTTAAAGTCACAGTGAATCAGATGTTTTTGGGTCTTTATCTTCAGCAAGACGGCCTTGAACAACATGAGGAGAGGATAAGCACTTAAAGTAGACATACTGTTTGTTAAAGCTGCTGTTATTCATGTTTCTATGTTAGCATTGGATCAGATGAATACATGTATGTGAGCGAAGTCGTTCGTGGTTCAAAACACAAAATTAGCAGAAATCTACCAATCTTTTTTGGTGGCAAAAACTGGTAGTTTTAAGAATTTGGGACGATTTGGGAATTTGGGACGACCAAACCCTCTGTGATGTTCTTCAGGCGTGAGGAAATACGGGAAAGACTTCCAGGCCATCGCTGACGTCATCGGCAACAAGACGGTGGGCCAGGTGAAGAACTTCTTTGTGAACTACCGGCGGCGGTTCAACCTGGACGAGGTGCTGCAGGAGTGGGAGGCCGAGCAGGGAACGCGAGCTCCCAACGGGGACGGCGTGACCTCCGGGGAGGAGGGGAAGACGAGCTCCGCCACTCCGTCGGGGAAGAGCACCGACGAAGAGGACGAAGAGGTGAGACAGTAAAGGCTTCAGGTTATCAGCCTCAGTAACGCGGAGACCTTTTCCCAGATGTGATGCGTTATATATTATATAAGGACAGAGATGCCCTGTTATAACTTCTTAGAGACGTGAAGTGTTAAAACTCTCCAACAATAGAGAAAGAAGTAATCTTACGCCCCTTTTGGAGGCTTAGGTTGGAAATCACTGCTTTAAATGGCTATTTGAGGACCTGTGAATGATGCAGACGTGGCCTAATTATGCCCCGCCCCCCTCTTGTTACTGCAGGGTCAGGTGACCTCCTCAGGGGCGTCTCCCGCTGCCTCGTCTTCCTCCTCTGCTCAGGTCGCAGCGACGTCCGGCACCTCCTCCCTCCACCAGCCCCCTCCCCTCCTGCGGCCCTCCCTCCCGGCAACGCCCTCCCTGCACCGCCAGCCTCCGCCCCTCCAGCAGCAGGCCCGCTTCCTGCAGCCCCGCCCCACCCTGCAGCAGCCCCCGCCACTCATTCGCCCCTCCAACCCCATGCCCCCACGCCTCAACCCACGCCCTCCCGCCCCCATGTCCCTCGGCGGCAACCCCGGCGGGTCAGGTCCGAGCTCCGCCCAGCAGCCCCCCGGCGCGGCCGTCCACCAACCAGAGGCCTCCTCGTCTTCCTCGCTGCACTGACGAGCGTCGGACAGAGGTTCTGCCGAAGAGACACGAGAAAGAAAATGTTCAATCTGCCGCTGCGTTCAGGTCCCGTGGGAAAATCGGAGCGAAGAGGTTTCAAATCTTCTCTCCGCTAAAGAGCTTCGACTACAAGTCGATCAGTCTTTGTGAATTTGTCACTGAAAGCGTGCAGATTATTAAAGCTGAGCTTTGTCGGTCAGCAGACATGTGGCGTCCCACAGGGTTCAATCCTGGGTCCCTGCCTTTCCTCTTCATCGTTATGCCTCACTCGGACATTTCTGCATTAACTGCCATAAACAAAGGCACGCGACAGCGGTACCTGTACATTTCAACGTGACTTATCAGTCCTCCTCAGCAGCATAGTAGAAACTAAAAGCTGGATGTTGCAGTATTTTCTAAATTAATCTAATTGAAATGAGGTAATAGTCTTATATAACTTTCAATTAGGTTTTAAATTCAACTTGAATCAGCGTATCTTCTTACATTAAGAAAGTCAACATTTACATTTCATTCATTTCGTAATCATCTTTTATGAGTTTTGCTCATGAGTTCTCTAGGTTCATGCGGAGTCTCTGCTGACTCTTGCGTTCCTCAACCCTCTTTTGTTGATTGTTTCGAACAAATAATCCACCGACGACTGGCTCCCCAGAGGATGAATCCCTCTGGATGTTAGTGTCCCGCCGATCTTTCTTCTAGCGTCACCCGTAGGACTGACTTTACACTTTAAGCAATGTTGTCTGAACACTGCAGCCTAGAAGTCACTAACGTGATCACACATCTTTACGAAGGGCTTTGCTTCACTACATACAACCTTAAAGTTTAGATACAAATTAGGATTAACTCGAGGCTAAAAGCTCTGTATATTTCCTATTGTCAAACAATCCCACGTTTACACTCAAACCAACGTTGTGTCTGACCGACTGTGCGTCACCCTAAAACCGTTTAGACAAACAAGCAGGATGAAATGCTTTAATTGGGAACTATCTTCAGCGGTGGATTAATCCCAGTTTGGTGATCTTTTGGCAGCAGGACGGTGTGTGTGTGTGTGTGTGTGTGTGTGTGTGTGCGTGTGTGTGTGTGTGTGTGTGTGTGTGTGTGTGTGTGAGTGCGTTAGAATAACCTACACTGTGTTGTCATGGTGATGAAGAAACGCCCAGTGAAGGAGCGCCTCTCCGACGGACAGATGGAGGTCGAGCTGAGCGCCTCGCGATCAGTAGCGTTAGACGAGTACAGTTCGGGGTCTATTTGAATGGTTTGGAACCTGCGGTCCCTCCAATCGGCTGTCAGTAACTCATTAACTCCGTGACAAACGTTTGATATGAAGCCTTTGTGAAAACCCTTAAAAGTCCTTGAAATGAAAAATGTCTGTCAGCCACATGAGAAAATGCTCCTCACTGCTCTTCTAATTGTTCTGTTGTTGGATTTAACTTCCTCACAGTAGCTGATGTTTCTTTCCTTCCGTGTTGAGGATTTATTTTGAATGTTTTACACTTAAATGTTTAATGTCATCTGGGCAGTGAGCTTCAGATGTGTTGTCTGTCTTTTTGTTATTTATTCTTCTTCCTGGTGCTATCAGTTTGGACTTTGTGTGAAAAAAAAAAGTAATTGTGAAAGTGCTCTTAATGCTTTTTGGGCAAACGGGCATCACAGCGTTAAATGTAACTGGAGACATAAATAGAGTCCTTTTGAGTTTCAGTGCTACTTGTAAAATATTGCTGTTAAAAATGTCTCATTAAAAACTACATTTGTAACTTCTGTTTGCCGAAACACATCCCAGACTGTTTTAACAATTAAAAAAAAATTGATATATCTTTTGCAGAAAAGAATATTCTCTTCACAGTGAATGAAGATTCGATCGGTCTGTTATTGTTAGCAGCTTTCTGCCGTCACTAAACAACTTATCAGATTTGTGTTTTCTACCGTTAGCTACTTGTACTGCTGATTTGTACTTCTCCTCCACCCCATCTCCAGGGATGATATTCTACTTTTTTACTGTGGTAGTTATTTAAAGCTTAGGTTTCTTTGCAGATGCCAAATATCTACATGATGTATTAACTTAAAAAGCTTTATATAAAGTAAAATTAAATAAGCTTCACATTTACCAAACAAAGCGATCAACACATTCCAACAATAGTTCATGAATCCATAATATTTACGGTGTTTATTATTCTTAAATGGGCCAGAGTGAAATCAGCAGGTTGTTGACACTCACTTCCTGCTGGCATAATTTCCTCTTCCGCTTCTGCTGCTGTTCGGTCTGCAGATAATCGATACTGATCGTTAATATCGATCCGGAGGAGGGAGGACCAGGGGGGGACCTCTCGGACCGAGGTATGAAAACCCGCCAAACCGGAGCGAGATGTTCCGTCTCTGAGGGAAAGTGAAAGTAAAGCAGCCGATCCGGGTAAGGAACCTCCGCGGGTCGAAGTGTGCCACACGTTGTTTTATTTTAAAATGTAAATCTAAAAACAAAGCGTGCAGAAGATCTGGATTGATTTACATGTTTAAAATACATTTTTTTAAAAACGTTGTCTTTAGCATCACCCGTGTGATCTCCTCAGCCCGGGCCTGCGCACGCATGGCGACGCCGCGCCCGGAGTCCGGCCCGCCGCCCGGGGACGTCGCCAGGAGGTGCGCGGAGTCCGCGATGAGCTCCTGGGAGTCGGCGCTGACCTCCGTCCAGCACTCGCTGAAGTTCGTGTCGCCGCTGAGGGAGGAGTTTGTCTGTCCCGTCTGCGGGGGAGTGGTGCTCAACCCCCAGCAGAACTCGTGCGGACACATCTTCTGCTTCCTCTGCCTGCGCGCGCTGCGGTGAGACGCGCGCGACACCGGCGGCACCCAAATGAATGGCAAACGTGCAGAACGCGCGTGACAAAAACCTCCCCAGTCTGCGTTTGTGTTTCAGGGAGAGTTCACCGGCGTCCGGCCCGGTGTGTCCCGTGGACGGAGCCGCGATCACACCTGCCGGGGTCAGCTAGGCGGCCGCGCCGTGCCGCATCCACCTTCGCCCATGCAATGCGTCCGACTCCAACGGTAACCGAGAGCTTTCCGCCCGCAGGTTTTCCAGGACAACTGCTGCAAACGGGAAATCTCCGGTTTAGAAGTGTACTGCGTCAACTTCCCAGCATGCGCCTCTGTGGTCACGTTACGCCGCCTGCAGGTAGAACCTACGCACAAACAATCCGACAACTTGGTTATCATAGACCGTGTGTAAGAAGTGCATGTAGGGACAATGACGTCACCCATTGGCCCTCTAAGACCAATCGCCGTTTTTCGGTGACCATCATATTAAATGCTAATCAATTTATGAAACAAAGCGATCCACCTGATCCACACTTAAGAACGCACACTGCTGGTCACCTGAAGATGTGCAACGCTTTCTATTAAAAAATCAACAACTATGTCCTCTGCAGGAGCACCTGGCCGACACCTGTCCTCTCCGCGGGGAGCCCCGCCCACACCGCCAGCCACCGCAGAGGCTCACCTTCATCCAGGTGGGGTCGCGTGTGACGGCTCTAATCATGGAGAGAGTGACAAACATGATGTTCTTCCCCTTCATGCGTGTTTGGTGTAAAGAAACCAGAGGATTTCCACCCTGAAACCCAATGTAGAATGGTTGTTGGAGCACAGTTCTTTAATATAGAAGAATCTTTAAAGCTGAAATACATCTTCCTGTAGGATCGTGTGCAGAGCTCCTGTTTGCAGGTGGACTGTCCAGAGAGCTGCTCCCCGAAGGCTCCCAGACACAAGGTGAGACCATTCATACACTTCCTAAACCTCAACATCTAAACATTGGAGAAGGGCTTCTCCTGTAATTCTTCTTCACTGCCTTTTTAATAATCTAAAGAGTTTCTCCACCTAAAATAAAACGTCTCCGTATTCCAGCTGGAGTCGTGTCCAGAGCAGGTCGAGCAGGTTGACTGTTCATACAAGAAGTTTGGCTGCTCTGTGCAGGTGAGTCTCACCTGAGTGCGAGAAAGAGAGACCAGAGGGCAGCATGAGAGAGACTGATGACCATCTCGTGTGTCCTGCAGGATACTAGAGGGAGAGTGAAGCTGCACGAGGACGCCGCGGTCCATCGTCACATGCTGCTGGTCCTTAGGAGCAACACACACCTGGAGCAACAGGTGCGTCTCACAGACCCAGCTGAAATTACATTATTACTATTATTATTATTACTGATATCGGTGTAGGCGGAGTCGTGAACATCTCTCCATGGATGACCTCTGATGGGGAACTCCGATTTCCTTCTCGTCTCCTCGGGCAGGTGGAGGGTCTCCGGGAGGAGGCGCTGCTGATGCAGCAGGAGGTCCAGACGGACGGTCTGCTGCTCGCCGGCCTGCAGAAGACAATCAGGCCGCTGCTGCAACAGAAGGACGGACGCGAGCTCACAGTCTCTGCAGCTCAGGTGAACACGTACCAGGATTCTTACATCCTGGGACGATTTCCCGCATTTTTAAAAGTAGTTTTAAGCCTTTTGTCCAGAGGGAGCTTTGTAAAGTCTTCATGTCAACGTTGATTGAGGACGAAAAGTGAAAAGTGAATCCCTCAGACCTCTGTAACAAACCACGATCTCACCCGCTCCTCTCAGAGGAAAAGTTGCATTGTGGGTAATGAACAAGTACGAACCAACAGGGAATTTTATTTTATTGTTTGAAAAAAGAGTCTTGTAAACCATAATGACCCTGGTCTGTCTGTCCTGTCAGAGGACGCTGGGCCGGCAGGAGGACGTCCTGTCCACTGTCCGGCTGGACGTCCAGCAGGTGTCTCGGGGACTTGGCGCTGGTCTGCAGGAGCTGGAGGAGCTCAGGAAGTCTGTGGACGCTGTGATCCAGGAGGTGTCTGCAGCCGAGGCCCTCAGGCGACACCTGGGTAAGGACACCTGGAGTGGACCTGCACCTGTTCATAAAGGGGCAGTTCGCTGAAAAAAGGTGGATGTGATGTCCCTGCTCGCCCTGTGGTCAGAAGGTTGGTGTCGCAGTTCACAGTCTGGCCAGAACCTGAAGGCTGCTCTTCTTCCAGGAACTTTGGAGGAGGATCTGAAGCAGCACTCGGGTCTCCTGGATCTCCACGCCGCCCAGCTCGGCGGAAACGAGCGACACCTGCGGGAGCTCGGCGGCGCATCCTTCGACGGCCGGCTGATCTGGAAGATCGACGACTTCACGAACAGGAGGGAGGCCGAGGTCAGAGGTCGGCCGCCCTGCCTGAGCAGCGTCCCGTTCCACGCCGGGACCTGCGGCTACAAGCTGGCCTCCAGGGTCTACCTGAACGGGGACGGCGAGGGAAGAGGGACCCACCTGTCCCTCTACGTGGTCCTGATGCCGGGGGACTTCGACGCCCTGCTGCCGTGGCCCTTCAGGCAGACCGTGTCGCTGTCCCTCCTGGATCAAAGCGGCGCCGCCAACCACCGGTCCCTCAGCTTCAGACCCGACCCGTCGTCCAAGAGCTTCGGCCGGCCCGCCGCCGAGTCCGCCGGCAACGTGGCCGTCGGCTTCTCCTGCTTCCTTCCCCTCGGCGAGCTGGAGCCTCGTCACAACGCCGAGTACGTGAAGGACGACGCGCTGTTTGTCAAGGTGAAGGTGGACACGGCCGGTCTGGACCCGTAAGCCTTTGGTCTCCACCTCACCCGATTTTTAGGAATTCATTTCTTTATTACTAAGTATTGTCAGAATTGTCTCGCTTTCTGACGTAAGTTTGGATCAATTGTTTTTTTCTTTAAGCTCTTGTAGCACCTCAGGGATTCTTTGATGGAGGTCCGACTGCGGTCAATCTTATCTTGAGGTCGAGACTAAATCATCTGACACTTGGAGCTTAAATCAAGTTATTTTAATCTTTCATCCTGAACTCCGGAGATCTAATTGAACGGGAGAGGAAATGCGAGAAATGAAGACTTGACTTTGCTTCATCGCGACTCTAAAATAAACACAATAATACGTCCCGTTAGTTGCTGACATTTATTGTCTTGTATGAAGCGCTTGTGTAAACGCTGGCAGGGCGAGAAGGCAACAAGGTCGGCCAGATTCTGTGATGCGTCTCGCACAAAGAATTAGAGATGATGGAAATAATACTTTCAACATGTTTTTATTTAATCAGCAATTGGTCAAAGTGCTGGTTAGAATATTCAGATGCAGACAGGAGGAGCAGGAAAAGCATATATTTTGCGCAGATATAATATTGAACAAATATTAGTGAAACCTCTTTGTCTTATCTTTCCCTCACATTCCAATACATTCAAAGTATGTATCAAGTGAATATAACAAAGCATGCGTAGTTTGTCTTCATCTTATAACTAGTACACTTTAATTACAACACAACACAAATGATCGCGCTTCATCATAAGGTTTAACACCGTTCATGTGGTCACTCAAGATATTTGCCTCACTCGGCTGTCTTGCATCCAGTTGCTCGTCTACTACCCGTTCTCCTCATTTCTACTTGGACACCCTGAAGTGCTTTTCTTAATACCGCCGGTAATGAGGCTTCCTTCAGAAATATGGAGTAATTGCAAAGCTACATGTCCTTATGTTCTTTGTCACCATAGAATTGGTAAATGTTGATGTTCACGTCTCCTCCGACGTTAACATTTTGAAGCTGAGGCGCGACATTGGCGCCTCCGTCCTGATGAAGGACCGAGGGGCTTCTTTCGTCCCTCTGATGTTCAGCTGGATCCGCCACAGGTTTCTTTGCTGGGAGGAGACAAACAAAAACGATATTTGTTTTATTCCTTCACCGATCTGTTAATATTCAGTTATGTCACTTCGGAATTTAGAAAAGACCTAAAGGATTAAGAATAACTTCTCAAGGATGACCAGTACAGAGACACCCATCATCTCATAACTCATATTCATTGGATGACATTAGACGAAGCTTGTCGTCATAACGACCACACAGCGACGGAGAAGGTCTTCTATATGTGTTTGTGAAAACTGTAATAAAGTTAGTTTCTTTTTGAGGATTTGGAATTAGTTTTCCACTCCGCAAAAGCAGCAGAAATAAGCGTCCTCGTCCTCCTACTGATGCAGCTACGCTGTAACTGGACCCCCCCCGCGGGCTGCAGGCTGATTTGGTGGAACGCCATAACCGTTCATGTTTCCGCACAGTTTGCTTTAGGTTCTGTGTTTGAGGGTTTATACCGAGGAGCAAACCTCCTTCTTGTTGCCGTTCCTCTTTTCAGAGGAGCAACAGCGTCCAGCGCCACTCTCAAAGAGCCTGTAGCAGCATCGACCAGATGATCGATCTGGGACGGACTGAAGTTCTCACAGGAGTCTTCTGATATCTTGAGGCAGGACACTGAACTTAGAGCAGAAGGATTATCAGACAATGGATTCAACAAGAGAGGGTTCTTTAGGAAAGATTGTTAAATGTTCTGTCCCAATCCCAAGAACCAAGTCGAGGGTGTGGTTAAAACAATGAGTTGGTTCATTAACACTCCGACAGAAACCGATTGAATCTAACAATGAGAGAATTAAGTACCGAGGCTGTCGTTATCGACATCCACATGAATGTTACAATACAATGATTACCTTGTCCGTTTTAAGGACCAAACTGGTTAAGAACTGTGAAAATTCAGATAAAAATTCAGAATTATTACAAACCGGCTGGATTGTTTTCCAGGTTGGCTGCGAGGGACTGAGAACCAGGCTTTCAAAGGACTTATAATCCAGTTTAGGTTTAAGGTTTATTAAAAGGCAGGAGTCATAAATAGCTGCCACTTCACCCCCACGACCCGTTTCTCAAGGAATATGAGGATTAACATGGAGGAGTCGCTTCGTTTAAGATGAAATATTCCCCATTCGATAGCCACGTTTCAGTAAAACCAAAATATATTAACGTGTAACCCGTGTTGGGTATTGCAGTTTTTTTCAATCGCTAACAAGCACTTACCCATACTTCAGAAATTTTTTCTAAACTCTTAACACAGACTCACACCTACAAGACACAATTGGCCAAATTGATAATTTTCTCTTTAAAAACACATTTTGTTAAATATATACTAACTCTTAATTTCAAAACAGAACACATCTTTCTCTGCACACACTAACTTTACCAAAACACTGGAAATCTGATTCAAAATGAAATTATTCTGTCAAAGAATAACATTTGTTTTCACTTGACAAGGTACATGCAGTCAAACGAAGTACACCAGGTTTCAAAATTCTGGCTATTGTTGACATTATAAAAATTGCATAGACTTTTATGTTTCAGGTAACATGCAATCCACCATTTACACTAAATTTATTGGTTTGGAACTGCATGTGCACATGTACAGTAATGTTCACATTCAAACGCATTCCAGTAAAAAGCAAATCAGTTATTTTTTCTTAACTGTTTACCAAAGAAGGTACAGTAGAAACAGTATAATAGAACAGAAAAGGTTTATTTTATTTTAACAAAATATCCATGAAACACACGAGCAAAAACAGCCAAAAGCCCAGATGAAAAGGGGGGAACTGAAATGGCAAACAATGTATGCATCTAATCCCTGCGATCTTCAGGGTTCGGCCACATGTTTTTGTCAACATCACATCTGACATCATCTAAGGCGATGCACCTGGGATCAAACCGCTTGGCATGTCGGATCCACCCTTGGCAATCTTGAACTGTGATGTCCCTGCAGCCAGCATCCATGGCTTCAAGGAGGGACATCTGGTCACGTGGCTGATGGTCATAAACCTTCCACCTCCATGCAGAAAAGAACTCCTCTTCCTGCACCTGCTCCTCTTCCTGCACCTCCTTCTACATCGCTCACTGGACCTGCACCTCTTACTCTTCCTCTGACTGCACCTCCTACTGCACCTCTCACTGCTCCTCTTCCTGCACCTGCACCTCCTTCTGCACCTGCATCTCCTTCTTCACCTGCACCTCTCACTGGACCTGGTCTTCTCCCTGGGCCCCTTGCTCTTCCTCTTCCTCGTCCAGACATTACAGTGTTTGTCTTTTTCTGTTTCCAAAAACATCACTCCTCAAAGTCCTCCTTAAATAAGCCAGACTGGAATCAGCTGTTGTTGGCCCAATTTACCCAACATAAATCAGCTGTCAATAATTCAATAGTTTGTTCATTATCAGCTGAGATATATTGTTTTTGAACTGATATCATTGCAGAAGCAGAGGTTTTTATACTGTATCTACGGTTTGGAATATTGTTTTTGCTATTGTGGGATGGTGTGTGTTAACATTTGTGAATACTACTAAAACAATCCATCGTTTTGTTGGGAGGTATGGCTTGTCTGTTAAGGAAAATGCAAGCATTGTGGACATGTGTTCACTGACTGCATATTGTGTGAAAACGACATGAAATGTGTGAATGGCATGGCCACAAAACACCGATGCTGTGCTAATTGTGTTTAGAGTTTTGAAAATGTGACAACTGTTTGGACAAACGCTTGTTAGCGATTGAAAAAAACTGTAAGAGTCTATCCTGCATTGGTAATTGTATTTTGAACAGTAAACAAGAAGTTGTCAATGAATTAACATGTACTTGTATGAACTGTTGGAGATTATTTTATATATATATATATATATATATATATATATATATATATATAATATAATCCAATGTAATATAACTCATGTGTAAACCAATAAATTCTGTTCAGTGATCAATTCGCAAGTTATTTATAAGGCAAAAGAAACTTGTTCAACAACCAATGTACGTTCCTTTTTTATTTTTGTTTGTAAATCATATTACATATATTCACCAAAAAAAGCCCAAAGTGGCTTTTAATTATTCAAACTACTTTTTACACCAAAAGAACATTTGCATCTATATTATTAATTCACTTTTATGCAGTATAACAATAACACAAACGGTATTCTGTGAAAATATGAACATATTAAATATTCAACAATATGTTTTCAGAGGCTTCACATCTGATATAATTTGTTTTGCTGATTTACTCAAAGTCAACCTTCAGCTTTGGATATTTAGTGAAAATAAAACAGTCTGGATTGAAAAGGTTGAAATAGATATTCTCCATAAGGCGTCATGATACAGAAATAAAGAGGAAAACATACAGTATTTATATAAAATATGTACATTTATTCCCTTTAATAAATAAAAACATCACATGAAAGAAGAGAATGATTAATTTACTCCGACAGGAGAGATGATCAGAGGAGCAGAGTTTCTACCATCGTAATAAACACCAGGATTAAAGAACGGAAAGAGCTTCTCAGTGAAGGAGCAGCCAGTGAAGGAGTAGATGAGAAATGCAGCTTCTACGTCATAAAAGGAGACCACACCCTCCTCATAGTCCACAAACACCCCCACCTTCTGAGGACCAGACTTCACAGAGAGAACAACTGGAGGATCATCAAGAGCTTTGTATTTATTTCCACTTATCAAACGTGTGATCCAGTAACCATTCTGAGGACTCAGTGAGATGAATCTCTCCCTGTTGACTGACTCTCTGATCACTCCTAAATCCCACTGAGTCTTTCCTTCAACCTGAACCTCAAAGTAGAATCTGCCTGAAGAGAAACTCTGCTTTGTTAAAACACAGAGCCAATAATAAAATCTCTCTGGGTTGTTTGGGAGATTCTTCTCCACATCACCAAGTTTCACTTGTTTCCCATCGTCAGACAGGATGAGTAGAGGATGAGCTGTTTCAGGATCAAGAGTCAGATCCACTGCAAACTTCTGGACCCTCTTCAGCTCAGCAAACCACTTCTTCATCTTCTTACTGAGTGTCTCCTCCAGCTGAGACACAGCTCTCACCACAGTCCCCTCATATGAAGGACAAACACTGACCTCTGTCCAGTCCTTAGTGGGTGGTGGCTGATGGATGTATGAGGACTGGAGAAGATGGAGGTGGTCTTCAGAGAGAGAGAGCTGCTCCACCTCAGCGCTCCTCTTCATAAACTCAGAGATTTCCTCTTCCAGCTCTCTGATGAAAGCTTCAGCCTGATTCTTTGTGGTTTTCTGCTTCTCTTCTATGGTTTTGAGGAGCTCCTTCAAGCCTCTTTCAACTGACTCCATCAGATCAGTGAAGACCTGAACACCTTCTGCTTTCTCTCTGCCTGCATCTTCCTCACTGAGGTCGACCGAGTGTTTGATCTCCTGAATCTTCAGTCTTCTCTTCTGGATCATCTGCTGGATTTCAGCCTCTGTCTTCTTCAGCTCGACCTTCTTTTCTTCACATTCTTCTTTCAGAGGAACAACATCATGGTTCTTGTGGTCTAAAACACTGCAGAGCATGCAGACACACGTCTGGTCGCTCTTACAGAACAGCTCCAGAGGTTTATCGTGCTTCGTACACATCCGGCCTTCCAGGTTCTCCACAGGGT